GCGAAACGCTAGAGGACACTTGAACATACTTGGACGTGGAGTTTTGCTGCAGCATCGTTTCGGCCTCTCTGATATGCGCGAGTTAATTGTCCTTGTGTCACTCGGCAACTAACGATCTGTCAATCTATCTATGTACAACCCTAGAACCCTTTACGAATTGACTGCACTAGCTAGAGTAGTAATCAGCTTCTTTCTACGTCATGAAAATTTTGAAAGTTATCTTTGTATCGTAACGTTCAAGTCTGCTTTTAGCACCTGCACCATCACGGCTAGAGCTCCTCCTCGGTGAGACATGCTGATGCTGCTGCCTTTGATATTAATTTTTACTGAACTCACCATAACTAGTAGGGGCCACGCCCATGAACACAAACTCGTTTCACCCAAAAACGAATAACAAAATAATTGTTCCATGACTTGTACAAAGGTGGTACACACTCGCGAGATGGCAAACTGACTACAAACAAATAACGGCGAAGGCCCGTTAAAACATTCTGAGTAAGGAAGCAAGCCGAGACATCATGAATGGTCAGAGGTAAAAAAAAAAAAAAGCTTCATGGTAAGACATAGATGATGATGTCGCTTTCTATGTCGGCAGTCGTTGCAATTAGAATAGTGTGTTGCAGGAAAGAAGTAAAAAATCTCACCAAGAGCAATGGGTATAGGCTCTACAAGGGCTTCTTGGGAAGTAGCTTGACATTTCGGTCTCGCTTAACAGTCTGCGCATCTTTCCCGAAATAGCGGGCGGTCTCGAACGACCAGTTCAGCGAACCGGCCATCCAGTTCTGCAGTCCTTGGACGTAGATAGCCACCTGCCTGTCGACCTCTTCTCCCCACGAGGGCAGGAGAGCACGGTTTTCTTCAAAACGCTGGATGGCACTCTTGGATAGCTGGGCACAGTGATCGACGGCGCCTTGCAGGTCTAGACCTTTGTCGATCATGAGCACAGCAACTAAATTATGCGTGCTATGGTGAGATTGCTCCATGTTGTAGGAGAAAATATCCTGTCGGTAGCAATGTCAGTAGCGCCCCAGCTTCGACGACAGAATGGGGCATTACATTGGACCAAGAAACGAAATCGTTGGCAGACTCCTCCAGGGCCATTATGACCGGGTGCGAGACTACGTCGTCGGGGAGATAAATATTACTGACGAATTCGATGAGGGCAAAGCAAGACTTGCAGCCGCTCAAGTCGCGCCTCAAGTCGATGTAAGATTCAACATCGTTGACAACTCCCTTGGCACGGTTGTCCACCTCCTTAGCCGCAGAAATGAACCACAAGTCCATTGTATGGATGAACCGGTCGGGGCGGCTGCCAGTCTCCATAAAGCGACCGAAGTATCTAAAGATCACATAAAGACGGTTAGAAGGTGTGTGTGATAGAAAAAATCAACGCACGATTTGCACATCTTTGCACTATATCTTTCCGTTTGAAAGTTGGTGGGATCGCGGTACGCAGACATACAGCAATCACGGACTCCCCACGCATCTCCAACATCAGACCTATCGATCTCAAGCCAGTCGTCTAATTTGAACGACCAGCCCAGGAAGTCCGCGCAGACTTTGAGACAGAAAGCATCCGCATCAGGGTAGACAGATGAAGCGAAGTAACCTGCGCGTAAGCTCATATATTTGGACTTTTCTGGCTCTACTAGATGCGCTTCGTTAGAAAGCCATTCTCCAGAAGCGCTAGAGACCGGATAACAGTGAGCGTTCAATCGGAAGGGGTAGGGGAAGTCACTGAAGAAGTCAGGTAAAATGAACCCTGCGGGTTCAGGGTCAGAACAAGTGATGGAGGAGGTTGTGGTAGGAGCCATGGAAGTTGTCGTTGTCATATCGCGAATGTCAAGATGAGCTAACGAAAAATGGAGGACACGAGTTAGGAGATAAGTTGCTCTGAAAAATGTCAGTCTTTATACTGGACGTGGGGGAACCACCATTAAGGCTATTTGAAAGAAGAAGAAAAGGGTGCGAACTCATCTGATCCATGTATCACTTGCTCGAATAACAGCAAGCTCCGATACAGGAATGTCGCTATTCCATAGGCAGGGTGAGACATTACTGTGACATGTAATGGAGCTCCACTACCGGTTCCTGGGACGTTGATGCATCACTATCAAAAGGTGAAACTCGAATTCGATGCGCTATTCCATAGGCAGGATGTACAAACAACAATGCATGTCTCGCTACCGTAATGTGTTATTTAAGATTTGGTTCGTCAGTAGACTTGCTGTGAACATGACAGACAGCTCACCTCAAACTTGTCCTTCTGTATTTCCTTTCCGGGAGTCAGTCGTGCGGTGAATACTTAGTGGAGACGGTCAGGGTCGGGCTGATGGGACTTTAGTAGATAGATTTCGGAAGCTTGGGGGCAATGACACTAGAAGATCTGTTCATTGCCGGTGATTCATGTGTATGTAGATCGTGATTCATGGATCCTAGATCCGTTCGTTGACTTGTCTGTGCGTCATGATTCGTGATACCGATACCATAGTAGGTAGACTGCCAAAATATCTACAGCGGACCTGCTGGATGAGCCAAAATGTGTGAGAAGAGATGTCAAGGGTAGGGTTTCAGTGCTGAAACAGGTTTGTGGGTAGATTAGTCGAGGAAGGCTAGAATCCGACGTTTGGAGACTGTCGCTCAGTTAAATGCTTACCGGACCTTGATAGGTGCTGAGATCTGAGACACTGTCGTTTCAGCATCGCTATATCAGAAGCTGGATTATCTCATTCCTGCTATAGCGACACAGTACACGGAACGCACGTTTGCCGTCGTACGAATCTGTCGCGTCCTAAACTGTTTGATCAGTGAGTGATCTCTTCTCGATCATTGCGTCATGTCCAGTGCGTCCTCGTTGATGTCCGATTCGAGTCTTCCAGTTTGCGCCCCGTATACACCGCTCGTGCCTGTCGTTCAACTGATACATGCGTTATAGTCACATCAACGCTTGACGACGTGGTAAAGTCACATTACACATCGGAAACATCCAGGGCTATCTGCTACTTCGAATAAAGTAGTCGCAAGGCCAGGAGAAATGGCAAGAACAAAGCATTCTGCAAGCAAGATTTGTTAGTGTAATCTCCGAGTTTTAATTTTAGAATATCCGGATCCAAGATTCTCTTGGTGAGTGTACTAAGTACATAGCACTTACTATGTCATTGTGGGTGCATCAAGTTGACTAGGAAGTCTAAGGTTAGATTTCTGAGTAACGTTGGAATAAGTCCGACAGGGAGTGTAGACACTCGCCCACACACTTACCTGATTGCCGTACTACGATCTGAAGTTAATTTGACCACGTGACATCAACACGTCGCCTATTCGCAACGTGGTAGAAGACGTACATATTTGAACTATGTCATGGTGCAACGCGTTTGATGTCGTCTCGAAATGCGCAGAAATAGGTCTCTATTCCACGCCAAGATACTACAATGCCAAAACATAAATACTCAAAAGAAACATGGACTAAATGTCGAAAGCGAGCATAGCCGTTTTTAAATAGCAAGAAACAGTAGCGGAGAGAGCTTCAAAGATGCAGAGACACGGTGACATGAAGATCTGGTGTAAAACTGGATGAATATGAGTGGGATATTGATAACAAATGCAGCAGGGAATTATTCTGGAACAGTAAATAGGTAAAGTGGATATTTATGCATGAGGGCAAATGCGCAACCAGGCGCAGCGAGGTCCAAACAAGGGGCACTAATCAGAGGGTGTTTAGATTTCTTTCATCTCTTCATCGATAGTGTTTCCAAAATAACACGTCTGAGCAGGGCTGGAGGAGATACCAGGCGACATATTGGATGTGAACTGCATCACAGAATCAGGGCTGAGTAGTCCAGCAGTGTTGGGACCGGATGCGAAATAATTCAAGAGGGGTTGGCGAGGAACAGGTATGATGAGTGCAGGAGGCGCGAGAGTACGAGTGTATTTAACAGATGGAGATGGCGGTGGGAGTGCAGGGAGAGGGGCAGTGGGAGGTGGAGCGAGTGGGACAGTTCGCTTGACTGCACGGCGCAGGCTGCATCGCATGGGCGTCAGAAAGTCGTCCGAGTATAGGCATTAACATTGGAGCCACTTACCGCGATGGAGCGCCTGCATTCAGACTGCCACTTCTAAGTCTTCCAAAAAGACTGTTGCATTCTGAAGCGTTCTCAGCGACGCTGCCTGCACGACTGCGAGTGGGAGACATAACGCCGGTGCGCTGAAGTGCGCTGCCGGCATTTCGCGACGGGGACTTGATAAGAGCCATCGGGTTCGCGGCAATGTTGATACTGCTGCGACGCCTGCGCATGCGAGGATGGTCTGCATTCGCAGTGGGTACTGCAACAGCATTAATGTTGTTTGATTTGCTACTGGGTGTGGGTGTCACGCTGAGATCGCGATCGACAGGGTGCGTAGGACTGGATGGCATCGGCATGGGCGAGGAGGGTGGTGCAGTAGTCGTCGCTCTGGGACGGTAAGGTGCAAGAAGGCCAGAAGAAAAGAACGCAGAATAGGTGACCATCATGGAATATTGAACGTTGAAAGGCCTGAAGCTGCTTGGAGAGGCTTGAAGATGTTGGTCAAAGACAAGTTGAACCAAACCACTTTTGAACTTCTCGATACGGATACAGGGACAAAGATTTTTCATTTCGCTAAGGCACTGCCACCTCGTGACCTTGAATCACGCCTTTACCGTCTATAGCTAAAGTGCGAGTGCGGTGGACAATTGCAAGACTAGTACTTCTGCTACTAGTAGTTCAGACTATTCCCTTCGAATTGACCTTGAGCAAATAGATACCAGTGTGACTAGGTACATGGCACGCAACGCGGACACCCTTTGTTCACAAACTTAGTTGCTTAGAGTTACTTATGTCAAAGGGTTGTAACCATGCAAAAACGTAATTCTACGAACCTTCACAACAAGGGTTTCCGACATTCTGGAAAACATGAACTGGTGGTGACGTCACAAATATGTATTTCCCCTCTGAAAAATCTCGTTTGGCAGGCGCATCAAACAAGGCCGACTAGCTCAGCTGGTTAGAGCGTCGTGCTAATACAGTCCGTTGGAGAGCTTCTGCTCACCCTGGGAGCTCACTGATGGGTCTGCTACGCGAAGGTCTTGGGTTCGATCCCCACGTTGGCCAATAGTTTTGTGCATTTTTGTCGCCCTCGACTCAACTCAGTTCTCTGTCATGTGGATGATGTTTCTTTTTGGTTTGAAGAGGTTTGAAGGCTATCGAGCGTCACAGAGAGAGTAGACCTAATGGCTTTCACCTCAACAGCACACCGCCAGTCTGTGTTAGTGCCTATGATGGACTATTGACTTACTCGCTCTCCACTCAAGCTCTGAGGCTTCTTCCTCAGACTCCCTGCATCAATGCTAGTAATGATTGACTCCAGCGACGCGCCAAGTCCTGATGACACTTCTGCCGCGACCCTGGTGTCAAAGATATCGTCTGTGGGGGCCGGAGACTCCGAACACCCTCACTTGACAATACATACATCCAACCAAATGGTCTGATTGTCGATGAGACTATGTCTATCTTTGTTTAGACACAAGATACGCCACACATCTTGCCATCAGAAGACTCCAAGTCTCAGTGGCAACCTCTTTGAAGACTACATCAAAACCTACTTCCTAGAAGGTAAGTACTACCCGATCAATGTGGTTAATATGCTTATCCGGCCTTGTAGCATGCTGACCGGTTCGCAAGGGCATTCCTTGTTCATGGCGGCATGCGAACAGTGGAATTCAAGGTCGTCACAACTGATCCCGTCAAATACTGTATAGCGACCTAACTTGAAGATGCCGTGATCAATCATTCACGTACCTGATTAGCACGTCTGCTGAACATATCCCAGAGGGTTGCCCTGTCGTATTCCGCGTTGAAGTCAACGTTAGCGAGTCAACGTGTTGCTGTTCGGCGTGGAGCGACTATCACCACTTCAAAAAAATGCAAATGACGAAGTCAAGATGTACAGTGTGGGACTACCAGACAGGCTAAAGTAGTTGCTCACAGTTGAATCGGGATCATCTCGCTATCTTCGCGTGATTATTATAACATAAGTATAAGTACCGACAGGATAGTAGGTGGGGACAGCCCAGAGATTGAGTTATGCCTCGATCAGCGAACCACCTGTTGAGTGCACCGGAAAAATCTGTTGAACCCAAATGTTCGTACTCGACTGGACCCATTCTCTGGAATTGGTCGCGAGTAAACAAATATCTGCGAATTTCATAACGGCTCCTATAATGGGACCAACGTAAGAGGACAGCTCTGGGCTAGGACAGGGGAGCAGTTAGGCAGGTAGTCTATGTGGGGTGGCGTGACTCATGAGGTTGTAGTGAGGTTGTAGTCGGGCGTGAGGAGTAGCTTAGTACTACTAGGTACTACTGAGCTGTGGGAGCTTGCAGGTGTGGGATTGGAGAAAGGAGAGCAGGCGTGGACCCATGACAGGTTAGGTTATGAGGACGGCACCACGAAAGCAAAAGTACTATGGTTCTGCAATCGACGTAAGATCGAATTCAAGGAATGTAGCCCAGTCACATCAGAGCAGCCAAAACCATTGGCGAAAAGGATGGCGTAACAACAAGACTAGCTCAGCACAAAAGGTCTCTGGTAATTGGACCTCGGCCAATTAGCTTGCACGCACGCAGGCAAAATTTCTGATAAATTCCTGGCAAGTTTCGTTGACGAACCTCATCCGGATTCCAGTTGTGCTGATCATCTGCATCCACGACAAAGACAGCCATTCGAACGATTCCTCCCCAGCTGGTCACTTAGGGTCTCTCGTAAAGCGCAAACATGAATGTATGATACACGATCGACTCGGAATTATTATGTCTGAGTAGTGCCATGCACAGTATCCACATGCGATTATTTCCACTGCCAGCCCTATATCATCATTATGTGAAACGCTGCAAAGTATTTACGATTAGGATCCGGTAATACTTTGAAGGAAGGAATAAGGGCAACATATTCTACTCGCTGCTCACCCGTCGTCATCACTCCTGCGCCGAAAACTAGGCTCTCCAGGGAAACAATTCGACCGTGCCAAAAATGCCTTCAACTCCTCATGAGGCCATGTTTTTATATCAATGGTTTCAAGTACGCGCAAATTGGGGAGTGATAGAGCATTGAACAAGTGAGAGAAACTTCTTGTGTACTCGGGGTCACAATGAATGCGCAAGGATTGGAGTTTTGTGTGCGTGAATGGCTCTACGGCCTGTATGTCGTCGAATTGTATGCCGATCATTAAGGAGGAGAGATTGGAACATGGTTGGAGCAAGCAGATGACTCCATTCGATTGTAATATTGCGATCTCAATGTTTGTCAGGTGGGCCCATACAGGATTGAAGGAAGATAAGCGTTGGAACCAAAATCACGGCTCCGTTATATTGAGACTGCGCAGAGTGGATAGTCGCGAGATCGATTGTGCAAGAGCTGGCCTAGTACTAGAGTTTATGGTCAGCTCCTGAAGTGCTACGGGGTCTGTTAACAAATGTTCAGGTTTGTAGGAGTAGAGGCAAAGATGGATAGAGAGAGACAAGATTTGATTGATGTAAGGCTGAAGCAGGCTTCGTAGCCTGTCCTCGTAGTCATCATCTGGGTAGCACAGGAGTGTTAACGAGAGTGAACGACCTTGTGATCGCTTGAGCCACGAGTCATAGCAGAAAGAATTCTGCTGCCAGTCTTCGAGTTTGGATTCCACACAGCCTGCACCACAAACTTAGCATACCCACAACAACTACCCTGCATCGTCGGCATATTCTAATCAGCAGCATGGGGGCCAGCTTTGATGTGGGCAACAAGTACTTGACTTCCAGGAGACGGTAAACGAAAAATATGGGATAGGTGTATAGTTGGCAAGCGCCAGAGAGCCGCTTCGAGTCTCTTGTGCAAATCCATGGAGCGGATGATCTTGTCCCTCTGATTGACGAGTTGCCGGTGAAGATTTTTGACACCCTCCATGCTGTTTCCAGGCTTGAGATATCGTGTATAACTGCATCCAGCTGCTGTTGGCGTTCGGTGATGATGGCACTGATGCTCTGGCCTTTGAGATCGACGACAGAGTGGTTGGTACTGGGGTATCTGGCTCGGGAGTACGGGGATTCTAGGTCTGACATCTGCCAATGGTCAATTGTGGCATCGTATAGACGCTAGACATACGATTGCTTGTGAATGCGCGAGCTAAAGCCATTGATTATTATCCGCTGACACGACTGCTTTTCACTAACTCGACATTTACAATATTTTGCAGGGCACTAATGATATCCGAGACAGAGGAGAGATTGACTTGTGAGTTAGCTGTCTGCATGTTAACGGCTGAAACGTTCGAGAAGATGTAAAGAAGGAAAGGATTAATCTACCATATGCGGCTTGTGCCGACCGCAACCACCATGATAACAAAACACCTGCACATCTCTGGTCTTATAATCTCGACACCATCTTCTCAACCTCCTCCGATCCTCCCAGTACATGATGAGTCCCCATATAAAAGCACACGCCTCCTTCATCCGCCCGTACTTGAGCGTACCTATCACGTCCATTCGCCTAGCAGGGCAGATAATAAGTATGGGAAGCATGGCAGCGGCGAAGGGTCAGGCCGAAAACGGCGCTCATCCCATCCATCTTCACCTGCGGGAATGATCTTGTTATACTCTTGTGGACGTGAAAGTTGATTAGATACCTCTGTCCAAGCCTCCAAGGAGCTGTACTTCCGCTTCCGATGTCCGCTAGCACTAAACAAAGCCTTCCAGGATTCATGGAGGGCAGCACTATAATACACCCTTGGAACAACAGCCTCATTCGCTTCTCCAGCTCAACCCACGCGCTGCACAACGCTGCTGAGCTAATGGAAGGTACTTCTCTTGATAACCAAAGGTTGACCTCCTTTTCGCTGGGAGTTGACGGATGGATGGTAGGACCTAATCACCTGGACTGTGATACCCAGAGTATGTGTTGAGCTTGATTTGAGTCTCGTGGCACATTGTGACATGGACGACACTGCCGGAATTGTCGACACGAGTGAGTCCATAGCCTTTGTCTGATCCTCACAGTTGCTTACATCAACCCTTGTAGACCTTGTTAAGGATGATTTTGTTACAACGATTAATTTGTGGAGGCGTCAGATACAATGGGTAACGAATCGTACTGCACACTCGATATCTAATTCTATACCAACTATTAAGTCTGTGTTCCGCGTTGTCCAAGCGACTGACTTGCTGAACAGCTGATCGGGTGACACTCCTGACGCTACTACCGATTTATGCGCATATATGCACCGTTCGACAAGAGAGCAGTTGCATGTTCGGAATGGAGAGGACAGTCAGTTAAGTTCATTAGCACAGCAGATTGTTGTGCACAGGAGATGGTCCTCGTTGTGACGACGGGCTTATTTTCGTCAGGAATTTCTTCGATGGTCTGTTTCTTGGGAAGAAAGGAATAGGACTGCAAAAACCCATCGACAGGTGCATGATGTTTATTGCAGAGGCCTAGTACTTGTTGAGGGTGATGAGCATATGGCGTTCGTCGTTGTGGGTGGTGATAGCTATCCTGTCACCCACAACGACGAAGTTCAAACATTCTAACGTTGTAATACGTTTCGTACAACGTTCTGTCCCGTTGCGGCTTGCCCTCGGCCTGCTGATAAGTAGCCGCTGTATTATGTCATCTACACTTAGTACGCTCTGTTCATCGAGATTCGACAGGATCGCTCGTATTCCGGGCCACCATGTTCTTCATCGTGAGTACCTCTCAGAGATCTCCATCACCCTTCATTCCATCATAAATAATTTTTCGATTCTCAGAAAGAATTGACGCATACAATCCTACTCCATCCGTCATACTTTGGTCCTCGGATGCTCCAGTTCCTTGAGTCAAAACTCTACTCAGATGTAGAGGGAACATGCTCAGGCGCATTCGGATACATCATCGCCGTCGTCTCCATCCTAGATATCGGGAAAGGCATGGTACTGAGCGGAAGTGGCCAAGCCGAATTCATCACTCGCTATCGTGCAATAGTCTTCAAGCCATTCAAGGGAGAAGTGGTCGATGGGGTCGTGAACAACGTTAACAAGGTGCCCCATGACCTATTACGTCCACTCACTGCGTACTGAACAGTCTGTAGATGGGCTTCTTTG